CAGATTTCCTCTTTGCTGTGTAGAAAATCATAAAATGCACTATCTTCCCTTGAACCCCTGTAAGGCTTGGAGCAAGACAAGATGGAACTGGAAGTAACATGGACAATTATTATCTTTCTTCTGCTTTCAGAGCTAAAGAGAGACAGTTAAACCAACAGGAGGCTCTTTATCTCTCTTTTTGAAATTATGGCAGAGGTATGACAAAAGCATAAACAGGCCTAGCAACTCAGGGTGTCTGATTACTTTAGTTTGAAATAAAGCTTCATGTGACAATAGTGAAGCCTGTCCTTTTGCACTACAATAACTCTGTGTGGGAACCATTCAAAATCCCTCTCAGAGATGGTCTGAGTCACAGTTACGGCACTGAAGTCTTTGAGAGCAGTATAAGCCAGACTAAGATAATATAATGCACACAACAATTTGAATGTGTTACAGTCCTTACAAGCACATATTCATGTGAAAATTAACAGTACAAAAGTAAAGATGACAGGATTGCTCCCCTATTTTGACTTCTTTGAAAGAATAGGAATTTCAGGTGTGTAAGGACCACTGAACTGGACTGTGGCTCGTGATCAGCGGAGTGGTGGCTATGAAAAATTTCAGCGGCTTAAAATTTAGTGCCAACCAGACCAAAGGTTACCCCTGAAACTAGGACAGAGAAGGGAAAAAGTAAAATCTGGATGAAATACAGGCAAATATTAAAATAATATCTGAGCTGCAGTTCTTAAAAAGCTAATTTTTTAAGGCAATTGCAGCTGATTATTTTTATTTATTCAATTCTTTTATTCTGGGTATACTGCTGTGATGAATGTTCATTTTAATATCTGAAACAAACATGCTTTTTGGAGTAAAGTTTAAGAGAAAATAATCTGAACTGATTATGTTTAGCAACTTTTTAGAAAAGACAACAATTTTTACTGTACTACAAAAAGACTGTAACCAGCGTACCTATCCAACCTTGTAACAGTTCTGTTGTAAAAGTAGTAGGAAAAGCTTGGCTCTCATTGTTGCAGATTGGTAGTATTCAAGCCTAGTAAAAACAACAAATTCTTATGAAAACGGGGACTCCGCATGCACAACAGTCACAATTTGAGCCTCAGTATTTTGGCTATTTTTAATGAAAAAAAAAAAAGAACCAAAAGGTCCAAGGTCATTGAAAGGACCAAAAGGGCTACATAGAAAATCTCTTCGAGAAGCAGAACTGATCTGAAGGAGAACAAAAATAAATCAAAAACTCTTTTCCATCACTTTTGCTTAGTACCCCCATGACTTCAAAAAATAATTTATTTTAAAGTTTGTAAAAGAAAAAAAAAGTGTTGTTGGACTAAGACTTCACTTATCAAGTTTCATCCTGGAGGGAATTTTTATAGCTGAGTTATAAACCCTCCTCACTAGAGTGTTTATAATGGAAACGCTGACAAATGCGATAATAAACACCAATCATGGGGCCATAGTAGCTGGTCAGAATGTGGATGCAGGAGTTTGCAGTGCTATCATAATATTTTGTTCTGTTTCCAGCACTAATTTGCTTAAACCTACTTTCAGGTTGAGCAGCTGTAAAACAAGATCAGCCTGACTATAGATTGCAAAATCATTTGATTATTTATACTTCTCTTAGAAAGCTTGGAAATGTCTCTCAAATATGATTTCATTTAGACTTATTTTTTGGTTTACATGTCTGAATACTAATCGTAATGTGATAGCTTCAAGGGAACTCAACTTTCTACCAAAAGGCAGCCTTCAGTGGGCAAAGAGAATATAAACAAACCCGCCTCAGACCAGGATCTAAAAATGGGCTATGATCAAACAGCTCTAAGGCTTTAAAAAACCCCTTATTATCTTTTCCCAGAAGTAATTGACACTGTCAGTTTTTGTTCTTAATGCGGTGATAATGGCATGGTGCTTTGGGGAGACCAAGGACCACGATTGGCCTCAGCCTTGGTGGCAGCAGGGTTCCTGAGCAAGGGAAAGGCCTTTCACTACAGCGGGTGAAATCCTAGCCTTACTGAAGTTAGCAGCACTTTTGCACTCACTTCCTCAGGGCCAGGGTTTCACTGGCTTCCCAAGCCCGATATGCTGTTCTATTGCACTGTGACCCCACAGACTAGGATGCAGCTATCTTGGATTGAGACGAGGCCGAGGGGAGAAGGGACCCCACAGACTTGTTATTTCAGGGAGATGGGATCGCGCTCCAGCGAGAAGCTTGTCTGCGATGTTTCCATAATTTGTTTATATTCTTAGCAGGCTGAGCTTCCAGGACTTCAACACATCCGCGTGGGCCAAGTGACGGGTCAGTGTGGTATGGCACTGTTTCACTGAGCTCTTCATGGGCATAATTAGGGCATGTTTTACTTCTAACACAGGTGTCTAAGAAAAAATGACATCTAGGCTACTGTTCTGGTAAATCCTTGCCAGTTTTGGAAAAGCGTGAAACATAAAAAATTAAAGCCCCCTTCATCAGGTTCTCAGCTCCTATAAATCAGTGTGTGGCTGAGGCGCTCCTCCAAAGTCTTTGATGCAACATGAAATGCATCTCGATACTTTATCTGTGCTGTTTGCATATTGTGTTCATTGGCTTATACCACAACTGCATTTTTAAGTTCTAACGTTATTTTTAGAATCGGTGGCTCATATAAGAATGTTACTACTGTTCTGTATTGCTGCTGCAAAATTTCCAGTGATCCATTAAAAATCAGGATTCATAATGCAGGATCCAGATTTTGATTTGTATTTAAAAATAAAATGTAACATTTTCTTTCTGCTTTTCCTTAGTCATTAACACAAGTATGGGAAAACCTTGGATCTTGAACAAATCCCAATGTTTTGTTATTGAACCAAGAAGAGAAAACCAATAATTTTTGAATTATCTGTTACAGACATGTTTACATTATGAATCTCTTAACTTAAGACTCTGTGTGCTATAGAGTTCTAATTTTATCCAGTAACATGAGCAAGAAAAAAAAATATGAAAAGATATATAATCATGTTGTGGAAAGCACAGTTGTATAGAGATCATAGAGAAATTGTGCTAAGAAGTGAATATTGAATTGCACATTTCATTATCCTAAAAGAATTTGTCTTCATCGTTTTGCTTGAGACAGTGGTAACAGTAAAATGCATCTGGGTCATGTGAACAGTTGTTGATTTTGGAACATGGTTCATTCTTAGTTCCTTTTCTCATTTTATTTTTAGGGAAAAAAAAACAAAAACAACAACCATCTGAAGAGGTGAAACACCCCAGTTTCTAGAGAGGAACCAGCTGCATTAACTATCCAACTGTCTCTTGGAAAAAAAGCATTCTGACAACTGGAGAGCAGATGCAATGTGTGGAGTCAGGGAGGTCAACAAAAACAAGTGGAAAAAGAAACCAAGGAAACAAGTGAAAAGAGAAAGAATATTAGAGTATTAATACCGGGTATTAGTTCACTCATGATAATGTTAAAGTGAATGGAATGAGAAAAAGAAGACGAGTCACCACAGGAGCTGACAAAAACATGAGAGAAGAAATCAAAGAGATATTAGGGTGGGATTTAGATCTTAGCCATACTAGCCTGAATCCAGGGTAAATCTTGATTTCACTAATATCACGACAATTTTATACAGTGGAGATAAAAGCTGTCCTGCGAAGTCGTGCAGAACCACTGACCCGGATGGGACTTTTGCTCCTAAGTTTACGGCAGGCTGGACTGGGCCCTGAACAGGCCGGTTGCTGCCCGCCTGCTGCAAATACGGGGAGAAATCCAGGTCTTTCCCCCGGCAGCGGCGAGGGAAGGTGCCAGCAGCAGAGAGAGCCGGGAGGGGAGCGGGAGGGCAGAGACGCGTCAGGAAGGGCCGGAGAGGCTTTTAAGGGAGACCCACGGGCCCCTTGCCCCAGTCCCAGCCCGGCCCCGGCCCCGGCCACGGCCACCCCCTCCGCTGCCCCCTTCCCTGGGTCTCGCCCCTGCTAACAAGCGGCTGCGAGGCATTAGTAGATAACGCTAAAAAAACGATCCCCGCGGTGGACCCTTGTCCCCATCCCCCGGGCACGGCCGGG